CATTATCAATTTTTTATTTCCGGATGAAAGAACACTATAGACACCGTAAGTTATTCTGGACATAGAATATAAATTTCGTCTTATTGTCGTTTTAAGTGAGAGCATACTAGCATGAAACTATCAGTTTACAACCACAAGAAATCCACTCATAAATAGTTTAATGATTGGTTTAGAGTTCAATCGCTTAGAAAATAACAAGACAAAAGTTGAAATAACACCAGGTTTCGAATTGTTCTTCAGTGTTCTGTGTTCCTGAACAAACCAACAATTGGTTTAGAGCTGAATCTCTGACACAACACACGAGTTAAAATAACACAAGTTTCCAAAATCTAACAATTGGTTTAGAGTTCGCTAACATCTTATAACAAGACAAAAGTCATGAGTTGAAATAATACGAATTTCCAAAATTGTTCCTCAGTGGTCTGTATTCCTGAACAAACTAACAATTGGTTTAGAGTTCAATCTCTGACACAACACACGAGTTGAAATAACACAAGTTTCCAAAATCTAAAAAATTGGTTTAGAGTTCGCTAACATCTTAAAACAATCTTTGACCGGTATAATTGTTCAATCGAGATTCCGATACTTACTTTTGTCGTTTTGAAATATGCCTCCGTGAATTCTCAACAGTGCAAGGAGATTGCAACTACAATAACACAGCTTATTTTACTTTATGGCACTTTCAGGTGGCTTCAGACACCTTCAAACACTTTCAAACACTTCCAGACACTCAATGGTGCAACCCGCACCGATACTAGTACATCAAGCCGATAGTTGTTTGCCTGCGAGAGTGCAAGGACTCCTTTCAGTGTAGTAAACCCCTTACCGAAGATTCAGGCAGTTAAATGTTGTCTTTTGATAGCGTAAAAGCTCTTGTACAAGCTGCACGTATAACACAAGCCGGGTCTGGGTATGTTGACTTGTGTGAGGAGAACTAACTCGTGATACCACCACCTGAAAAAAATTACTCGAGACCACGCTTACAACCAAGATGGCTGACTCAGACTAGTGCGCCGTACGACGCTAAACCACTTGACAGCGCTCGACTCTCGTGGACAAATAAATCAATCAATCTGATCATGCCATAATGTGGCTACACACCTTGTGTAAGCCACACAAAAATGATTGAATATTTTTGGATATGGCGGCCTTTCAGGACTCCAAATTTTCCCGGCCTCCTGCCACACGCTTCCGGGGATTTAGTCGGAGTGTATCGCGATCGAAATTTTTACGCGTTTGCCGGTTTCGCCTGAATTTTAAGCGAACGCCTGATGTTTCATAAAGGCACAATAAGTTTACGTCTGTAGATACTGCTCAGTTTTGTTTGTGTAAAAATCAAATAAATTGTCTGTTGACGATGAATGCTAAACAGCGCCCGCCGATGCGTGTTTTGGTACAGTCAGTACGAACATGACAAATTGGACTTCCGCACTTTCCGCAGTTTTTAGATATGTTTAAGGTTGATAAATGTTTGAGAACATATTGAAAGGTTAGCTTTCGGAAGAATCCACTGTATGACACTTGAGATGAAACCATTGTATGACAGATTCTGTCGAAGAGTTCGGTCACTCCACAGGATTTCTGCTGAAATGGCTAACCCGAGTTTGTTGATAAGAAAACAAGAAAGAGGCAAAATAATACCATTCCCCGGCCGTCCTCTAAGAACCAAGCAACACAAATTCTACTGTGAAATATTTATCTTAAATGCTTTAAAACATGTTCGTCGGTCAGCACGATAAGTGGCTAAATAATAAAAGCGCGAAGCAAGGCTTTCTAATTTGTAACTCTCCAACTTAAAACCTTTTGGTACTTTTAGATTTTTTTCTTTTCATGTTAACGGTATAATACAATCAATCCGGCATGAAATGCACTAGTCTTGTAAAAAGTTTGTTTCAGATCAGCAACTCTGCTGGAAAATATTGTAGGTCCGGAGTTGACGAGAAGAACGAAAATGTAGCCGGAATATATGATATTAGCGTTAAGCTTTCGACGGAACGTGCAAAATAATCTTCAAATCAAGTCAAACTTAAATAATAGCTCAATAAGGTAAGAAATCATCAGAGAAGTACTATTAACCGAAAAACAGTCTAAACAGGTAATAAAACTGAGCTTGGTAGATTTTTTTGATATCATGGAATGCTTTATACATGGGGCCGTCAAGAAGTGGAACCATGGGAGCAAAAATAGTCACGCGGCTCAGTAGTCACGCGAAGACGTGGAAACTGGACTTTTCGTCGTTAACGTCACAGTCCTTTGTTTTTCATAATGCTCACTATGTTGTCTTTTACGCTCGTTTAGTTGGAAGAAAGAATTTAACACATCCTTCTTTGAACTTTCAGTCCGGGCGAACAGACTTATAGTCCGGTGGAACTGGCTATCGTGCTAAACGATCAGTTTATACCCTAATCGGTTAGGTTCACGGGCGTTTTGATATGCAACACAACTACAATACTTAAAGAATCTGTTTACCTTGGCTCTTTTTTTACTATAAAGCAAAGGCTATTGATTAGTACTTTGGTCAATGAAACTTTGATAAATATACTGACTTAACATAAGTTCCAGAAGTTTCAACACTGTTGTAGATATGCCATGACCCTTGAAATGAAATTATTTGAAATGCGCTTATAATTATATCCTCTGATGTTAAACTGTTCCCCT